ATGTCTCATGTCGGGCTCACCGTGCAGAGGTCCCACCATCACTAGCACCGGCTCCTGCATGGCATTGGACGTTGGCTATGAGTTGCTGTCACGGACTCCGGCGCCTGGCGAAAGGAACAAAAGTAAAGAAGATTTGCTCGGTCTTGCCTTGCTGTGTGCAGATGTTCTTGCGGATGCCCGAGCATGTGAAATTGATCGGCGCCGATTGTCTTGATCAGATAGCACAGCAGCCGCAAGCCAATATGCCTAGCAAAGGGCAAGGAGGGCTCTGAGGCTAAGACTTGGGAGCCTGAAAGCCCTGGCAGGCGGCAGCATGGCGGAACAGTGAGTGTAACAGTGAGTGTTTCTGCGTGTGTGTGTGGGGTGTGTGGATCAGTTCTCATGGAGCTAGTCCGTTTCTCATCATCGAAATTAGATCACTAATGTCCAAGCCGAGGACGTGATGGCCGCGGCTCGGACTTTCAACTTTCAGAATTCGTTTCTCGCACCTCTGTCTGCTTTTGCTCCTCATGGCTAGTAGATGTCGCTTCGCAAGGAACGGGTGGGGGTAGCCTTGGGCGGTGGTGCTGGAGCATCCAAGCCGGGAGGCTCTCGAGGATCCAGTCGGCCTGTTTCCAACTGTTCTCGGGTGTGCGAGCGCGGGACAAGGAGCTCGCGGGCACCGGCTGATGGTCCCACCTCCGGGATACAAGTTCATACCACGCACTGAGCGTTGCCGGCTTTCCTTGGGGACTTGATCTGCTTTGGGTCAAAGTCTGCAACGTGTTGCTCGTGCCACTGAGCCAGGCATGTCTGTCAAGAGATGGGCTGCTTCGAGTGCTATGACATCTATTGCGAGCGCTGTGAATCCAAGGAGCCCGACTGCATGTTCTTTATCAGCTACATGTTGAGTGCACGCGAGCCCTTGGCGCTGCTGTCGGCTTTGCAGGATCGGCGAATCATCGAGCTAGAAATGCGAAACACAGAACTGGTGCCCCGCCCACATCGGAAGTGCTCCGTAACTTTGCGCAAGCCGTGCATGGCCCTCTCTGCAAAGGTGAAGCATATCACCTTGTTGCAGGCAAGCCCTGTTCGTGGCAAGCTCTAGGTAGACCCTTACGCGATCCGAAACCGTACCGAACAGGCCCGCCTTTTCCCTCGCGACGGTCAGGGCCCAGGAGCCCGGCCGAACGCCAGCGGTGCAGGTGCAGGCCCGGTCACGTTCTGACGCTTGCTCTTTGCGTTGCATCGATGGATGTGCAGGGGCAGGGGGTGAGCCTTTCGCCTATGTGCAAAGCCCTGTGGCTTGGCTGGCAGCTTGAAATGGCTAGCACTCAGTCGCACACCTGCGCAGGTGCAATCCTAATGTGCTGAGGTTATGTACGATCCTGGAATGGGCATTCAGTACCAAGCCACGACGACATTTAGCGCTGCCGGACCGTCTGGCGGCAAGCCGTAAGTGCCAGCACTGCGGTTAATTTATCGCAGGGAGGGGTGAAAACCCACAGCGTGGGCTTCAACTGCCTTCATGGACTGCTGATAGGCAGCAGTTTCTCCGAAGGAGCCTTGAAGGCAGCATCGAGCCCAGAAAGTTTCGCAATATTTGCTTGAAGCAGTTGCGACAGGTTCACATGCAGAGACCGCAGCCAAAACGGTGATGTGCTTGGTTGGATGAAGATTGCGCCTTTGATTGTTGAGTAAGCAGTACAGGGAGACGGCCTGATGGATCCGAGCAGAGATTGCTCAACACACGTGCAGTGTGCAGTTGGAAGTACCAATCGTTTAGCTTTCAAGCCCATCATTGCTTGTTTCCATATTAGCTCCGTGTACAGGACCCGTTGCTGGTACAATCTGCTTGCTTCAGGAACCAAGTTCAATGCATTTTCGATAGCTGGCATGGTGACGTCGACAATCAGCATACCCATCTTATGCCTTGCGCCGTACGCTTCACATGTCCCTCGAGCCATGCTTCCGCAGCATTTCGACCTATTGAAAGGCCGGTGACTGTGCAGCCACATTTTGCGAGGTAGCAGTGTGCAAAATGGAGTGAGATCCGCTTTTCCAGACCTGACGCAGGCCTTGTTAACACAAATTACGTGGAGCAGGCTCAGCAGGCGCGAATGATTTGTTTTGCCTACAGGCCGAAAGAACTCAAGGCTGTTGAACATGAAGTTGTGGAGGCCAGGAACTCGCGTTCGAAGCAGGTCACCACCCTTTTGACGACGCCTGGGCATGTTGTTCAACTTTTGTCCTGAGATTGCTTGGTCAAATCGGCAGTCGCAGATAATCTGCCAGGCAGCGCCGGCTTCCCGATACAGGCTGGAACGAGGACAGACATTCTTCTCTGATCCCAGCTCTTTCTCTTTTTCTCCTTGCAGGATGACATACAGCTGCTACTGGAGGAGATGGCGTTGGGGTCTTATCTTGGCAACAGAGAGCCACGTTGCACAAATCCAGCTCCGCACACGGGGGAATGTCGGATCTATGAATATCTATGGTCTATCCCATTCGGCCGAGACATCGCGAAAATGTGACAGTTTGGCCGCCTCTGTGGGTGGGTTGTACACACCTGCGTTTCTCTGGGTCAGTTAGGTCGTTCGACACGAACAACTTCCAGGCGTTCACGCTTATCTCTGCTGGTGTTTCAGTGCTTCCGTAGCGGCATGCGGCGGGCACCTTGTGCTCAGGGCAATGTCGGAGTCGGCGAGCGGGAAGGCATGGATGAAGAAACAAGACTGTGCAACTCGAGCTGTAACAACAGCATGCCGCGAGACTGCCGCAAGGCCGCGTCATCAGTGATCTGGTTCGACGAAGACACTTCGGCCTGACACATGGTGGTGAGCTCAGCGCCTGCTTGTGCTTTCTTGTGCGGATTGGCCGCTCATCTCGCAAGGCATCGGTCGAAGTGGTGATGTCATGGCGTGCTACTCGTATTGGGAAAGTATCGGCTTCGCTATTTGCTTGCCCGGTTGCGCATCCTGCAGGCAGAGCAGCCCAAAGCAGCTGGCTCATCCCTCATTGTCCAGCTGAATCCTTGGAGCATCGTTTTTGCTTTTCTCCCCCTTTTCCCGTCTGTCATCTCGCAATGTGAGCTGAGCCTGTGCCCACTTAGGCTGACCAAATACCTAGCCTTGGATGCGATCCGTTTGGCTGGGCGATGGCCTCGAGGGACGCCTTGATTTCAGCAGACATCCCTCCTTCATTTTCTTATATGGTCTTTCGCTGAGGATCAAGGCAGTCAAGGCATGTGCAGTACTGCCTGCTGCGACAGGCTCCATTCCTTCTGCCCATCTTGAGCCCTCGCTGGAGCTAAGAAGTTGCTCCTTGAAAGTGGCATGGTGCAGGACTGACGATGACTTTGGTGTTCCTCGCCCTTCGCCAGATGAGGCAGAGCTGTGAAGGACACGTGTCCCTTTTAAGATTTTAGAGGGTTTAGACTTTTTGACCAGTGAGTGTAATGAAGATGCCTCACCGCTCCAAGGGTATTTAAGGGGCGAAGCCCAGAGGCGGGCACCGCAGCTCAGAGCTTCCGCGCTCCTTCGTTCATTCAATCATTCATCCAGTAACTCATTCATTGGGTGGGGAAGAAATGCAGGGCGCAAGCGCTCATTGGTTAATACAATCCTTGATCCATTCACTCTTTCATTGGGCGAGGGAAGATCATTGGGTGGGCGCGCTCATTCGTTCAGTCGATCATGCATCAATTCAGTCATTCAGTGGGCGGAAGGGGAAAGATGAAGGGGGGGTTTGCGCGTGCGCGACAGTGTTCAGCTAGGTGGGTGGCGCCGCTGTGCGCGCGCCAAAGGCCGGGTGCCGCTCTGGAGTCACCCACGGGTCCCCCAAAACCCGCCATGCCGTGGGGAATGGCCGCAAAACGTGTGCGTTGCCGGGTGCGCCTTCCAAGGAGGTTCCAAGGCCAGATGATCGGAGAGAGAGTGTCAAACACAATCCAGCTGATGCTCATGATGCTCGCCCCCCGAGCTCTCTGAATCCGTCCAATCATTCGGTCGAACTGCTGCGCCTGCTGTGGGTTCCAAGGCCAGACGATGGGAGAGAGTTTTAAGCACACCCCCGGGCTCTCAAAATCCGTCCAAGCATTCGGTCGAACTGCTGCGCCTGCTGCGATGGGAGAGAAAGTGTTAAACGCAATCCAGCTGATGCTCATGATGCTCGCCCCGCGGGCTGTCTAAATCCGGCCAGGCATTCGGTCGAACTGCTGTGCCTCCTGTGGGTCCCAAGGCTAGACGATAGGAGAGAGTGTTAAACACAATCCAGCTGATGCTCATGATGCTCGGCCCCCCCCAACTCTCTCTCAAAATCCGGCCAAGCATTCGGTCGAACTGCTGCGCCTGCTGTGGGTTCCCAGACGATCGGAGAGAGAGAGAGAGAGAGTGTCAAACACAATCCAGCTGATGCTCATGATGCATGCTTCCGGGCTCTTTAAATCCGGCCAAGCATTCGGTCGAACTGCTGCGCCTGCTGTGGGTTCCAAGGCCAGACGATCGGAGAGAAAGAGAGTGTTAAACACAATCCAGCTGATGCTCATGATGCTCGCCCCCCGGGCTCTCTAAATCTGGCTCAGCATTCGGTCGAATTGAACTGCTGCGCCTGCTGTGGGTTCCAAGGCCATACGATCGGAGAGAGCGTGTTAAACACAATCCAGCTGATGCTCATGATGCTAGGCCCCCGGGCTCTCCAAATCCGGCCAAGCATTCGGTCGAACTGCTGCGCCCGCTGTGGGTTCCCAGACGATCGGAGAGAGAGAGAGAGAGAGAGAGTGTCAAACACAATCCAGCTGATGCTCATGATGCTCGCCCCCAGGGCTCTCTACATCCGGCCAAGCATTCGGTCGAACTGCTGCGCCTGCTGTGGGTTCCAAGGCCAGACGATCGGAGAGAGAGTGTCAAACACAATCCAGCTGATGCTCATGATGCTCGCCCCGTGGGCTCTCTAAATCCGGCCAAGCATTCGGGTCGAACTGCTGCGCCTGCTGTGGGTTCCAAGGCCAGACGATCGGAGAGAGAGTGTTAAACACAATCCAGCTGATGCTCATGATGCTCGCCCCCCGAGCTTTCTAAATCCGGCCGAGCATTCGGGTCGAACGCTCGCCCCGCAGACTTTCTAAATCCGGCCAAGCATTCGGTCGAACTGCTGCGACTGCTGTGGGTTCCAAGGCCAGACGATCGGAGAGAGAGTGTCAAACACAATCCAGCTGATGCTCATGATGCTCGGTGCCCGGGCTCTCTAAACCGTCCAGAGAAAAGTGTCAAACACAATCCAGCTGATGCTCATGATGCTCGCCCCCCGAGCTTTCTAAATCCGGCCAAGCATTCGGTCGAACTGCTGCGCCTGCTGTGGGTTCCAAGGCCAGACGATCGGAGAGAGAGTGTCAAACACAATCCAGCTGATGCTCATGATGCTCGCCCCGTGGGCTCTCTAAATCCGGCCAAGCATTCGGTCGAACTGCCGCGACTGCTGTGGGTTCCAAGGCCAGACGATCGGAGAGAGAGTGTCAAACACAATCCAGCTGATGCTCATGCTGCTCGCCCCGTGGGCTCTCTAAATCCGGCCAAGCATTCGGTCGAACTGCTGCGACTGCTGTGGGTTCCAAGGCCAGACGATCGGAGAGAGAGTGTCAAACACAATCCAGCTGATGCTCATGATGCTCGCCCCGTGGGCTCTCTAAATCCGGCCAAGCATTCGGTCGAACTGCTGCGACTGCTGTGGGTTCCAAGGCCAGACGATCGGAGAGAGAGTGTCAAACACAATCCAGCTGATGCTCATGATGCTCGCCCCCCGGGCTCTTTAAATCTGGCTCAGCATTGGGTCGAACTGCTGCGGTTGCTGTGAATTCCAAGGCCAGACGATCGGAGAGAGAGTGTCAAACACAATCCAGCTGATGCTCATGATGCTCGCCCCGTGGGCTCTCTAAATCCGGCCAAGCATTCGGTCGAACTGCTGCGACTGCTGTGGGTTCCAAGGCCAGACGATCGGAGAGAGAGTGTCAAACACAATCCAGCTGATGCTCATGATGCTCGCCCCGTGGGCTCTCTAAATCCGGCCAAGCATTCGGTCGAACTGCTGCGCCTGCTGTGAATTCCAAGGCCAGACGATCGGAGAGAGCGTGTCCTCTCTAAATCCGGCCAAGCATTCGGTCGAACTGCTGCGACTGCTGTGGGTTCCAAGGCCAGACGATCGGAGAGAGAGTGTCAAACACAATCCAGCTGATGCTCATGATGCTCGCCCCGTGGGCTCTCTAAATCCGGCCAAGCATTCGGTCGAACTGCCGCGACTGCTGTGGGTTCCAAGGCCAGACGATCGGAGAGAGAGTGTCAAACACAATCCAGCTGATGCTCATGATGCTCGCCCCGTGGGCTCTCTAGATCCGGCCAAGCATTCGGTCGAACTGCTGCGACTGCTGTGGGTTCCAAGGCCAGACGATCGGAGAGAGAGTGTCAAACACAATCCAGCTGATGCTCATGATGCTCGCCCCGTGGGCTCTCTAAATCCGGCCAAGCATTCGGTCGAACTGCTGCGACTGCTGTGGGTTCCAAGGCCAGACGATCGGAGAGAGAGTGTCAAACACAATCCAGCTGATGCTCATGATGCTCGCCCCGTGGGCTCTCTAAATCCGGCCAAGCATTCGGTCGAACTGCTGCGACTGCTGTGGGTTCCAAGGCCAGACGATCGGAGAGAGAGTGTCAAACACAATCCAGCTGATGCTCATGATGCTCGCCTCCAGGGCTCTCTAAAAAACAGTCCAAGAATTCCTGCGCCAGACGACCCCGCAGGAGTTAGAGGAAAGGACGTCAGGGCGGCCGCACAACAGAGCCTGCGGAGCGAAGGGGCATGTCGTAAGCAAGGGCGTGGACGCGGGAGGTTTAGCAGGTCGCAGCCTTTTTCAGTGGCATAATTGCAAACTCTTGAACATTCTCCCCTTATATGCAAACGTAGTAGCCTGAACGGGTGCGGTAAGATATTCAGGCGCTTCGTTTCTGAGCCTCGGAACGGCGAAATTGATCCGATGCAGATTAGTCAGTCGTAGTCGTAGCACTAGTAGCAGTAGCAGTAGGAGCAGTAGCAGTAGCAGTAGCAGTAGCAGTAGTAGTAGTAGTAGTAGTAGTAGTAGTAGTAGTAGTAGTAGTAGTAGTAGTAGTAGTAGTAGTCGTAGCAGCTGTTCGTCGGCAAGTGTCGAAGTGGACGAAACTAACCCGAAGCGAGGCACTGCGAGGGGCAAATCAAACGAAGTTGATCCGATGCAGATTCTTTAAAGGTGCTCACCAAACCGCATGAAGCAGTAATAATTTAGTAGTAATAGAAGAGTCGCAAGACTGGTCGTCGTCGTCCTACTCCTAGTCGTAGTGGTAGCAGTATGAGCGGAATGAAGATGCGCCACCGCTCCAAGGGTACTACACCATATAGAGTTTGTGCACGTGGGGGGATAACTGCGCTACTCTCTGCTTCTTCTGCTGCGGGGGGTGTGGAGGGGTGGGGGGATGACGAAGATACACTTTGAGGCCCTTTGAGGCTCTTTCGCGGGAAGTAGTAGAATGAATGTAACGTGGGCGAACATACCCAAAGCACCACGGTTGTCACACGAAACACTGTTTAAGTGCATTGTTAGTCACATATGTCAAGCGAGACTTGTGGAATACTTTCCATTACAACCCGCTAAATGCCGTTCCAGCGGAGTCGGCCAAGTAGACCGACAAGGCTACCATTGCCTAGAGCGAATTTGGCAGGCCGCAAGGCCGATACGTGGTGTGGTCGAGGACCGGAGGGCCAGGGCAAAGGGTAGGGAAGCTTCGGAGGGTTCGCGGGCGCACCGCCTCACGGCCCTGAGGATAGACCAGAAGTCCTGCTTCAAGGCTGCAAGCCGGCGGCTGCCTGTGTCAAACCTGCCTTTCGCGGAAGTCCAAATGCCCGTGCAGGCAATTGGAGCAGCTGGCCTCGAACCGATCGTAGTAGAGCTCAAGCCCATAGAAGGCGAGTTGAGTTCAGCCTACGGACAAAGACTGTTGGCCTGTGTCCTTTGCCTCAAGGTACGGATGCCCTGGGTACTGATCTTGAAGGTATGCAGGCTGCTATCGAGCGCGTCGGAGCTGACAAGGCCTCCGGGCAGTTGGTTCAGCCGGTGTCTTGAGTGCGAGCGGGCGACAGAGGTCCTATGTATATGCACAACCACCTCCACTTTTGCGCATCTCGGCAACGCTTTGAGCGCTTGGTATTGGGTATTGTCATGTCGGGCTCGCCGTGATAGGCCAAGAGTGCCAGACTTCATCGACGAAGTCGCGCTAGTGGCGAGCAAGCTGGATGTGAGATGCCCTCAGAATGTTTGGAGCGCCGCCCCCAAATTGAGCATGTGCAGGGTTCAGCTAAGGCCACATGTAATCAACAACGCGTGCTGCCAATAGTTCTGCGGCCCGTTCGCGGGTCAGCCAATCTTGTAGCCATGGTAGGTACGGCTTGCAGTGCTCCAAGTGTACACATCTTATCGAGGCGGGGCCCACTGGATGTCGTGTCGCATCTTGCGATGTGACTGCAGCAATGTACAGAGCTTATACTCGACCAGACCGGCTGTCGCCGAGGGCGTGTCGATGCTTTTGTCCCGGGCTTGGCTCGGCTTGCCTTGCAACCAGCTGCCAGGCTTCTCCCAGCACGGCTTTTGGTGGGCATTTCCTGCTGCTTGCCAGGTTCAGAGCACGGACAAGAATTTCATGGTACCCGTGGGTGGAGCCATTGTGGCCGGGCCTTCCTCAGCTCTAGTCGACAAGGCTCGCCGGCTTCGAGCGGCTGGCAAGCATTGCACCAGCTGAGCAGCTGAGCAGGTCTCCAGTCTTTATCCTGGCCGTGCATCGATGGGGCCTGTGCGATGGGCTCAAACTCGGCATGGTCTGCGAGGTTTTTCGTAGCGACGCATAACAGGCTGGACCTCTTCATTACCCTTCTGCACACGCCCGAGCTTTTCGTAAACGGAATGATAGGAATCGGCAGATGCACTGCTTCACTCAGGTCGTTGGGGGTCTCTGGCTGGACGGGCCTGCTCCAGGAAAGAAAGGACGGGATCATGCTGCGTCTTCAGCTTGGGACACTGTTGCATGCCATGCCGTGTTGCAAGGAGAATGCCAAGTGGTTTGAGGAACGTTTAACAACGGTGTGCCAAAAGTTGGGTCCTCGCCTCAGAATCCTTTCATTTCCTTGTTGCAGCTTCCAGTTTTCTGCTTTGGTCCTGTCTGAATTTCTGCAGAGGCCTTCGGGTGTTGAAGGCCGGCTCGTGGACTTTGCTTCCTTTGCACGAGCCGCGTTTGCAGGTTCCGGCCAACCGGATTTCTTTCTGCATCGACATAACCTCCCTGGGAAGGTCTGGTTGCGAAGCATCCATCAGGGTTTCCATCAAGCTGACTTCTTCCCGAAGTGATAAGCCTGGCTCAAAGTCAAGCCTGGGCAAAGCAACACGGAAGCCGGCAGCTACTTCGTAGGGAGCCCTGCAAACGTTGACCTACACACAAACGGCACCAGGGACTCGTTGAAGCTTTGTCTGGCATGCTACCTGGCCCATGACGCCGACATGCCTTGGGTCGTCCGCCCGGCCGGAGGGTTTGACGTTTCGTGGCTCCTAGATTCCTAGATTGAAAATGATTGGAGAGTGGCAGCTCAGGCGGCAACCGCCGCATGGACAAAAACGCTGCCTCTAGGACGGCAAGGGCGGATCGTTCATCCCGGAGCCGCGAAGCCGCAAGTTACAGGACATCGTGCCTTGCCTTGACGTGGCTCCGAGTCTGTGCCTGAGTCCGAAGGGGACCGAGAGAATACCATGCAAGATCGCCAAGTGCTGTTTCTTTCATGCGCTACACTCGTACCCGAGGTCTTGATACATGTGGCCATCTGGAACTCGTCTGCGTCTGGACGCCTGCTTTAGTGAAATGCTTCTTAACACGAGATCAGCACGTTGACATTCGCCATGGTGGCAGGATCTGTGCCGACGCAACAGCCAGTGCGTGCTTTACAGGAAACGCCGTTCGTGGCCCGGATGTCGAAGCGCTGAATGTGGCTCATGGCTTGTCTGCGAAGAAATCGGACACGGCGAGACGATTGTTCTGGAAGTAGATAGGAAATACCGTTGGCTTAGAACATCATCATCATCATCATCGTCATCAACATCACCACCGTCATCATCATCATCATCATCATCATCCGCGAAAACAGACTTGAGGCCAGCAGCTTGTAGCTGTGGGCCACTGGATGCACACTGGCAGCAGTTGCGCGAGGCAACCTGGAAGGCCCTACCTCCTTCATGAGAACATGGAGCAGGGAATGCAATTCAGAAATCCCCGTAATCTCACCGTTGTGCAGGCGTTTACGCCTGACTTTGCCAAGAGGGTGCCGCAGTCTAAGATGTTGCCGCCCGCATCACCCGCCCGCACGACCTTGCAAGGCTGTTAATGTTTCAAGAAGCCTGCTACAAAGGCTGAACTACTCAGACCCAGTATTCTTTTGGCATCCTTCTCAGTGTCTGTCTTGATCATCCGCGAGACTTGCACTGTGAATCTGAGCGCTTAGTGATGCAGACAAAAGGATTCGCAACTTTCCGTGTCCTGATCTACCAGCAACAAGTCCTCGTGGTGCTGCAGCGCTGTCAGATTGTCGCCCGGCCGTGAGGGGGGGGTTGCAGCTGCAGCAGTAGCATTCATTCTTGGATCAGGTGCTCCTGGAGTGATTCTTCTGCATGTGCTGTGCGCACGGGCCCAGTCCGTCGCTTGCCCGACGTTTGTGAGTTTGCCTGTCGTTGAGGCTCAGCGGAAGCTTCTGCAGCTGTCTGCAGCTCATCATAAGCAAGCTTTGGAAAGCATGTTAGAGCAGCTTTTCCTGGCCTGAGGAGGTTTGACGAAGCCCAGGAGCAGCTCGTCGAGGCCTTGATGGCCCTCCCTTTTGCCGAAGAGTGCCTGCTGCCGAGCGCGATGGGCGTGAGTAGATCTGTAAGGAGGTGTTCGTGAGAGCAGATGCTCATTTTCTGAATCCCGGCAGTGGAATTGTGGCTCGCGCGAGGGTTTCGGGCTTTGAGCGGGCAGCAGCCCCGCCCCGAGAAAGCCCTTAAACGGACGGAGGGTACAGTAGTTACCGACTCACACACTTCTAACCTGCGTAGATACAAGTACGCCCAGAGGGTGGACAAGTCTCCTTACCCTCACAACAGAGCTAGAAAGACTAGCAGCAGTTTTCGAGCAGGGCAAGCACTGTAGTCACTAGTGGGCTGCGTTATCCGCTGTGCCATGAGTTTCAAGCTCTGTGAGAGAGGCTGTGGTCATCTCGTTGCCGAAGGCAAGAGCAAAAAAGGATATGCCTTTAAGACTTGCTGTCGTGCGTGTGCCACTGGCAAAGGACACGACGACACCTGCCTAGGTCCAGCAGAGGTGCCGGAAGACGAAGGTTCTTCGCGGCCTCGGACAAAGAACGTCTTGGATGCGAATCCAGTCTTCGAATTGAGCCCCGAGCTCTTTGACATAGAGGATGGTCCTCCATCTTGTCTGGCGGCACCAGCCGAGCTGACCAAAACCAACAGGGATGTTGGCCCAATTCAGTGGGGCATGACGTATTCCCAGTTCATGGAGTTTGTCGAAGCTTGCACGAGCACCAAGTGCTGGAAGAATGCAGAGCTGAACAAGGACTTCGTGAACTTGTACGATCTAAACCCTCTGCTTATAAGATGGACCCGGAACACTGGGGCCGGCATCGCGTTGAGGATGAATCCGGCCCAGCCGGTGGACGCTACGCTTATGGTTTCGCATTGCTGGGGAGAGTCGATGAATGAATGCAGCGAAGCACTCGAGGAGTTCAAGTCCAGACAAAGCATCGAGCCGACATGTGGCCTTTGGTTCTGTGCTTTCTCACAGTATCAAGCAGGTGATGAGCTGGAGGACGTTGGGCCCACGATCGCAGAGCAGCTTCGAAAGGATCCGTTTGGAACAGTTGTTCGAGCTGTGGCCAACCGCGAGGGTATGGTGGTGGTGCACACGTCGACGCAGGAGATCTACACCAGGTCAGCAACGCCCAAAATCTCTCGAAACTTTCACAGCATGTGTGGGCTTGTCCGGGAGCCCCGGGGCATGTAGACAGTTCTGAATTCCACAGTTGGTTGACAGGAGAACCCGCAGATCGTATCCCAAGTCCTAAAGCTTTCGCGTCTGCTTCAGGGTTGAGCTCTTGGTGAGTCGTTGAACTTCTCGGCACCGACCATATACTGCAACAATTTAGTGAACATCGTCCTTATCCTCCGGCTTCTGCTTCTCCGCTGCTACCCTTTGCAATAAGTTGGATTCCTAAGCCGTCTTCTGGCAGTGGAAAGCCGGAAGCCGCCTGTTCCAGGTTGTGGTGCGTCTATGAGATTAGCGAGGCCCTCGCAGCGCGCACGGCGGTGAACATTGCATACTCCATGGAGTACGTTTCGAAGCATGCAGCAAACTTGGACGACATGCTTCGAGCCAGGACTCGAGACGCACGTTGTGCCAAGGACAGCGATGAGACCTACATTCGAGAGAAGGTGGAGAAGTCTGGTGGCTGGAGCGTACTGGATCGGAAGATCTTCTCCTTCAGGTTGGACGCATTGAGAGCTCTGGTAAAAAAGCATCGGAGCACGCTTGCCGCAACTCTCCAACATGAGCTGCAGAAGGTGGAAGGGGTCGAGCTCCAGGAATGCCTCGCTCCCCGAGAAGAGCGTGTTTCCTCCGTGGTTGTAAGACCACATGCAGTTACAGAGCAGAGCGTATCTCTACAAAGCTCCACAGATGGAGGCTTCTTGCGCAAGTACTGCTCTTTCTTCGCAGATATTCTTTCGCCACCCAAGAACCAGGTGCGGCCGATTAACATCCCACCTCCGGAGTCTTGGCGCTTCTGGCTGCTCACCCCCTGCCTTCCCCGTTACCTTAATGTTGTGCTTCAAAGCTGTGCCACGTGTACTGTAGCACTCAATGGGGTCTGTGAACCACTCGGGGCAGACAAGGAAGTGGCTGAGGAGCCCGAGGAGGCGGCGGATGCCAGCGACGATGAGAACGAGATGCTCAAAGAGCGACTCGAGCTGCTGAAGAAGCTGCACCAGGATTTAGACGAATGAATCCTCAGCCAGCCGGTCTCACCGACTCTCGGGTGACCCGCAAAGCGGGCTACTCGCAGCGTTTTGTTTTCAGTTTCTGCCATCGGGCGGATAAACCAGACTCGCGACCGGGTCTCGGGATTTTAGACCTGTGGGTCAGTAACCTGCGCAACTGCAAACGACTCCGATGCTTCGACTGCACTTTCCAGGCTGTCCCGTAGCATTCAACGGGTGAGCCCTGAGAGCTGAGGCCTGCGGCCGGAGGCGGTACCGAGGTGGCCCACCTCCGCCTTCGACGCCGCTGGGATTCTGGGACTTGGCTGTTTCGATACTGCTCCCTATCGACTTCTTATAAGTGCATTATCATCTGTGTCCGCGGTGGGACCTACTCTTGCCCCGCCGGGCTCTTGCTTATGGCTTGTGTGTCATCGAAGGTCTTTCGCTTCACGGATCTTCACTTCTTTGCTTTGTGGCTCATTTCCACACGTTCGGGCTCTTCTTTGAAGTTGTGGTTAGTCCAGTCGTTCGGGAGCCCGGAAGAATCCGGAAGATGAAGATCCCGGGAGCCTTTGAAAGACCCTCCAAGCTCCTGCTCGAGGTGCAAACGAACTACGTGCGCTTCTATCGTGCAGTCTCCTACTACATCCAATCCGCACTGGGCTTGGTGCAGATTCCAGTGTCCAAACTACGTGACTGCGGCGAGCGGGCCTGTGCAAGCTCTTGTTGTACCTGACAAATTCGGAGGCAGAGTTGTTGGACGATCTTCTCTGGCAGCCCACCAGGTAGAGAGACAGCAGGGTATGCTGGCCCATATTCCGCCCTTGCTTGGCAGGACTTGTGTCGGTGACGAGGGGTGCTCGGAGATACCCGGTCACGCCAGGATCTCGGAATCAGCACCATGATCCTTGATATGATGCCTTCGCCGTGCACGGCAGGTGTGCAACAAGCGATTAAATCGCTGCATCCCCATCAAAGATGGCTGTTCGGCCGATGCGGAGGCGAAGAAGCGAAGCGTGTCCTCCCCTGACATGTACTGACAGTCGAGTTCATTCAGATTCAGAGGGAACAGGGTTTTCAAAAACATCGGCAAACTGTTCGGGGCATCTGCAGCTTGCCTAGGGCCTAGATACCTGGCTCTCGTGGTGGAAAGGCTGATCTTTAGGCAATGCTGATGCAGTTCGAATCAGCTGGAAATGCCGAACTGCTCTAAAAGTGCACAGACGCAACGGATACAGTTGCCGGGAATTGCATAATCAGAGTAAGTTGAATGGAAACAAAATGAAACCGGGCAATCTCATTTTTCCTTGTTGCATATCTTTGACTCTCTTTGCACTTCACTCTTTCGTGATGTCTGGAGGTGTGTCCGCCTGGTGGCTGGTGCACATCAATTACTTCCCCTGGCGAAGATCGCTGCAGCCTCGAGCTGTCTCCCATATGCATCAGCCACGGCGAACTTCAGGCCAGGACGGTGAGTGATGCCAAGGCATTGCTCCATACAGCGAAAAGCTGCTCAGGCCTTCCACCCCGGCATTGATTGCCTGCAGCGTGTGGACTACCCCGGCATGATCAAGGCGTGCTAGCGGCTTTGCAGTTACCAGCTGTCGTTGAGTCGTCGTTGCATCCAGATCAGCACAGGCTTGCTCGGAGATGGGTACGACGTTGTACCCGTTGAACTGGTCCTCAAGCCCTTCGGAGCATCTCCTGGCAGGAGCGTGTCAAATTGACATGTTCGACCCGTCAATCAGCCTGAGATCACGCTTCCAGGAGCCCAAGGTAGGGAGGCCATGATCCTTCCAGTGACTCTACGACTCCGGCCCGGTTCTGAGCAAGCTTGGGAGCAAAGGCCGCGGATAGTGACAGTGTGGCCGTGGCGCAGGAGTCCCTGGCACATGCTGCACTCGCTGGTGCCCGCTTATGCACAGTCCAAAACGGACGGCCGCTACGGTCTGCTGCAGCTGGAAGGCCTGGCCACGTGCTCAGCCGATAAACATGGGCCCAGAAATTTGAGACAAGGAGACTTCGATCTTCTCATCGTGGATCAAGATTTGGACAAGGCACACACACACACACGCATGTAATTAGAGCAATTGCTTTGTCTACTTAGTGTTACCTTATACACTTATGTGACTCATGTGCATTCTCTGCGGTATCAGCATTACATATCACACGCTGTCTTGCCTGTGCCTGCTATCTTGCAGTTTGTACCCACCTTATCTTTTTGTCCACCTCGTGTGCGGTTGCCTACCCTGCTCATGTTGTGTGCCGTAGAATGGAGGCTCTCTTACCTATGTTCTGTTCAGTCTTGTCTTGAGACTCTGCCGTATTCGTTGGCCACGAATGTCCGCGAGTTCAACTCGACCTACCTGATTCATCCAGTCTGATTGGCCCACTCTCTCATCACTCATGTCATCTTGTCGAGCCGCTGCATTCCATCCCTCTAATTGGCCTGCTTCGGTTGCCACTTTCAACTTATTGAGAAAGTGTCTTAACCGGAAGCATGCATGAGACAGTCTGACCATGCGTAGGTCAATGCAAGACGAAGACTAATCAAATCCAAACCCTTTGCTTGCAAGTTCGACGCTTCTTGGGCACTTCCTCTTGCAGCAAATCTCCGATTGCAACAGAATCGTATTGCAATCTGCCACTCTCTGTCTACCAACTGGGACTCTGAAATCGCATGACTGTCAAAGGCACATGAGAGCCTGCCCTTTCGAACCTTCATCAAGTTTTTGCATGGCGTGGCTCTCCAGAACAGGAGCGGTCTGTCTACCGATTCTACTACTCACGAACGCCTTTGTCGGTAGGGGTTGGCGGTTCTGTTTTCGTCGCGAGTTGTCTTTCTATGTGTGCGACACTTTTTTTTGAGGATGGTTTTGGCCAACATATCTAGTTGTGGAGGAGCCGGTGCGTGCCCAAAGTGGAGGAGTGCATAATGTGCCAGGACAGGCACATCTGGGAGAAGGTGCTTGGCGACGGAGCCCTCACCTTGGCAAAGAGTATGACTTTGGCTCATGGATGTAATCGCTCTGGATGAGGTGTCCGACACCACGATGGGCGGTCTCGATTTTTTGCTACGGCGGCTTGAAAGAGGATAGTTGGAGCCACGTCTTCTTGCTCAGATTGTGTCGCACGGTCTGAGGCTCATCAGTGACCAGCCGTACAAGCTGCTGAAGGAAGTGACAGGCAAATGGTCAGAATGCTTATTGAGGATCTCAAGTTTCTCAGTGATAATAAATCGCCACAGACGGTATGAAACCCAGGCAGCTGCTACCGCCGAGTTGTTTGGGGCCATGAGCTGATGCTGTATTCTGGCGGTGGATGGACGAATGAAGCACATATGTCCTTCTTCGGCATATACGGCGTGCTCTTCTTTATGCATGTTTGAGTCAGGGGTTGAAGATGGCTCATGTCACCTTGAGGAGCCACTTCGTTCTTGCAGCCCGGGATTTCGTTCAATCGGAGAAGCTCGAGGAAAACAAGGGTTTCAGCGTGCTTGGAAGTCATCGCACAGCCGAGCCACCACCTTGGCAGGACTCTGTTCGCGAATCCCGACTTCTTCTGGTTGAAAGGCGAAACAGCAGCGCATGGGGGCGATGGTAGGGGCCTTTCAGCTGTTGTTGTGCCATGGTGCGATGCTGGTGCCAGCTGATAGTTAGTTGTCTAGGATTGACAACTTCGACAGCGTTCGGGAAGCAGCGCATGAGTGGGTCTCAAGTCATCCAGCAAGCTTCCCAGAAGCGGATCCCAGAGCATGTTGCGATTTGGCCCAGAGCATGTTTGGATGTGAAACACGAAACTCGTACCCGATCCAAGGACCTCGTCAGCAGCCTCGAGGTTGCCGATCTGGCGGAGTTGTCCTGGCCAGACCAGCTGCGCTTAGCGGCACGAACGAGGCCCGCGCGCACGCGCCGTCGCAGCTCACGGGAGCACTGGGGCAGCGCTGAGAAGCGAGAAGTGAAGGCTCATGTTCGGAGCCCATGGGGACGGTCTCAGCTGGTCCGTCTTCATGGGCGAGGGATCTGCTGGGGCCTCGCGGCTTACAGACCCCAACCACAGGGAGACCGACAGATCCATATGTTGTACACAGGCCTTGGTGGAAGCAGTGCCCGCTCGGGATGCAGGTTTCCAGGTCGGGCTGGCCTCCCGTTGCAAGTGAAGTGAGGATTGAATGCGTGTTGCTAGGCCTGTGCTGGAGCCCCGGTCAGTTTCGCTTGAGGTGAAGGGGGATGCCGATGGATGCTGCTCAGGTCGAGGGTCAAGACAAGAACCCTTATGGGATCTTTGGTGGGATAGCTCGGCTTGCACGGGTTTTGCACTTCTGCCCGAATCTAAGTGCAGCTGCACCTTCAGCACGTTGCCACAATCCTATGCCGCCCCAGGCTTTCTGACAAATGCTTCGGAGACGCAGGCCTGCAACGACCTCTTTCCGTCTCGCTTTAGATGCGCTGCCAAACTTTGCTTCCTGGATCTTCCTGGTATATGACAGGCCGCCGCGACACGATCCGAAGAGGCACGTGTACTTAACCCAAACGTGAGAATCTTCTGCGTGGGGCCTTGACCGCCTGAGGACTTATTTCAGTGGGGCTGGAGGCAGCCCTCGGCCAAGCCAAATCTGTGTGATCAGCATTCATCAGCGGGAATAAAACTGCACCAGACCGCGCAACTGAGGCTCAACTTGCACATCAACATCGACAAGCTTCGTGCGCCAGCAATGTTCAGTCAAAACTTTTTTGAGTTCCTCAGCCAGCAGCAGCATGCAGGGGAGAAGTTCTAGGCCGGTAACTGAGGTGAGTACCTGTCAGTTGCAGCTGCCGCCGTAGCAAACTCGTCAAAAAAGAGCGTGACGGTTCAACGGGGGTTGTCATCTGCTCGTGCCTGCTGACTCTAGCGGTAAAGGGAAACACTGACCTGTCTGCGTGAGTCTGCGAAAGTCGAGACCTGAAACCATTGTCGGCTTGGACCAGTGGTGCCTGCAGCCCAGCCCGACCATCGCAAAGCGATGTGACGGAGCTGCAAGTCCCACACGAGCACAGCAAGTTGCGGCTGAGAGTGGGCTCTTGACTCTCCGTGCCTTGGCCCGAGACTAGAGTCCAGGGAGACTGCCGGCTTTCATCCACTCCAAAATTCCCCAAAAGCCTCTCCGGAGCAGGAAGGCTTCATGGCCAAAGCCATCGTGAAGAAGTTCCTTACGAGGAAGGAGGGGTCTGTGCTGCGTGCCACCTGGACAGCAGAAAGGTCGTTGTGCCTTCTTTCTCTGTTATCTCTTGGCCCTTCTTCGGGTTTTTGGAACTCCACCTGTGCTGCCCGAGGCATGGGTCCAACGCCTCGATTCAGAGTGTGAGCGCCAAGTCGCTTGGACGGATCTCAGGACTCGTTGAAAATTAGTTGGGGTCAGACTTGCATCTGGCACTGCCGTCTTACTGGCAGTTCGGCCAGTCGACGATGTGAGGTCTCGCAGCAGCAGTTTTTGCATCTTGGCGCGCAGACAAATCAGATGACCCGAGGAAGCTCTAGAATAGCTCTTTCTGCATCACTCGCAGCAGCCGAGGCGCTATCTGCGAGACGCGAAGTATCCAGAGGAGAGGCTTGTGCCGGCAGAAGAGCCGTGGAGAAGCGTGGAGAGGTCCTGCAGTGCTTTGATATTTTTGATGCGAGGATCCGACGGCCCTCTTCGAGGGGCTCGATGAAGACGGTGGAGGGGAGCTCTCCCTGCAGGCAGGGTTTCAGACGGCCTCATGCTGCTTTCTTTTGTAAAACCCATAATCCCTCGAATGCAGGACCTGGATGAGGAAGATGGAAGTCTCTACTGGAACTTCCAAGAGTTCTGCGTGCTGAAGTTCCGCAAAGGTGTCGAGGACAAGACCAGGGGTGTCAGAAACCGGTGCCTTCAGGGCCGATGGCAGCATGTGGCCGTGGCCTCGAAAGGATTTCATGCGGTCGATGGGGAGCTCCAACGCGTGGGAGCAGATAGAGGATATGAAGATCTCTTTTGCGCTTCCGCCTTAGCTTGCAGAGTGCCTGCTCGTCGCGGCTAGCCATGGCTACAACTAGCCCAGATGACTAAGGCAGTTTCGGGAAGGCCTGCAATCTCTGGGTTGGGAGGAAGGTCATGAAGATCGTATCTTTGATGCCCTCAGCTGCTCGTCTGAAATGGCCCAATTCAAAGAAGGCCAGGTCGAAGCCGGACGAGATTGCATATAGCTGCAAGTGACCTTCGGCCGAGGTTTCGATCAGAGATTTCTCATCAAGGCCGACATGTGCTTTGGCCAAGATCAAGACCTTGGGCAGCTGCGCGGAACTTTGTAATGTAAGATCCATGACGTTGCCCCGCCGTAAGGAAATGGCTTGACGTGGAGTGTCGAAGAGTTGCTCGGAAGGCTCCCGTCAGTTCATGCTTGAGTAAACTGCGTGACGTGACAGAACTGATCGTCAGCATGTGAAGCCCACCAGGAGAAAGCACGCTGGCTTGCGGTTCAGGACTAGTCTGGCAAGTCTCTTGTCGGAGTGGCGAGCAACAGATACTACCAGGTACAGTGCACGTGGTTTGAATTTCTTGTTTACAGGAGCAGCGGCTGAGGGAGAGACGGTCCAAACAGCGCGACCCAAGCGAGACACTGCTTGAATTCAAGCTGCGACCTGAGTTCAGCAAGAGTCATACGATACACTGGGCTTGTTCGATGTGCTCACGCCTCGCTTACAGGAATATGTTGACGCGGAAGTACGGGACTCTTATCCGTGCTTGGCGCAGGGCTCTCTGCCAGAGTACCGGCCTCAATGCCGAATTCATATGGAGATGGTCCTGCCAAGAAGCACCTGTAAGCACCGGAGTAGCAAATTGAACCATCAGAAGTCTTGCGCTCGTGTCAAGATGTGTGCTTAGCCTGGGGAGTCGTGTTCCCGTGAAACGTTTAGCATAGTCACCACTGGACAGGAGACACTATGACGTTGCAGAGATCTCAGTTCTTGAAGGCGTGCTCAGAGCTGGGTTGGAGAAAGGACAGCGGTATTGGGCGCTTGCGTGTGCTCTACGGTCAGATGGAAGAACCGTCGTTGCGAGGATGTGCGAGGAATGTGGCAGAAGATGGACAGGGACAGCAACGGCTGCGTTACACTGGAGGAGTTCGACTATGAGAGCGCTCAGGCAGGACCTAATGCCTGAGGTTGGTAGACTGAGCAGGCACTATTGCTGGCCCATGTTAAGCCCACGTGGAGAAAAGCAGAGGAGAAGCAGCAGCTGTTGAGCTGTCGCACTGCAAAGCCGCCCGCCCGCCCGCCCGGGTGTGTCACTAGAGCATCCGGGGGTGTGCTTGACTTGCTTCGACCGGGTGGCAGTGACCCAGCATACTGCACATATCGCTTGCATCCGAATTTTTCACCCACTGCTTGAAAGCCCAAAATCACCAGCTCGTGCATCGCACAAACTAAAGACTAACACCACGCGTGTAAGTAAATGTTGTCTGGATACTGGCGACGAAGCAAAAGCACAAGCCAACAGTGACTCGGAATCAGCTGCTGGTCTCCTGCTGATGCGGCAATGGCTTTGAATGACATCTTCCAGCTGTGAGCAGAGCCGCAGCCTGAAGATGCCTCGCCTCCAGACGAATTAACTTGGCAGGTCCTGGCGCACTTCAGCAAGTTCGTGACGGACAGCTTCAGAAGTAGCACTCCCAGGCTGTTTGGGTATGCCGATGCATGCACAGCTGTCATGCTCGCCGAGGTTATGAGGTTGCCTTTACGGTGTTGGATGCAGATCGAAACAACTACGTGCCTTTCGAGGAGTTGCTGGGCGGAACGAAGACTTCCATTAAGTGCTCTTGAGCCTAAGAGTGAGCTCGCCTTGGTCAGGTTTTCCACGAGGCTTGGCCAGCTAGGGTTCAAGCATTCGACGGCGGACCTCTTTGCAGCTTTGGACCTGCAGAATACGGGTCGCCTGTACCAGGAGGCCCAACTCATGCTTTTCCCGGGGGTTTGGCAAAGAACGACACGAGATTCGTTTCGTAGTACACGGGCCAACAAAGCATTGTGTCGCGTGACGCAGGATTTTCGCTTCCTGGAGAAGTGGCAGACTCAGCCCGTTGACCCAGACTGTGCAGCCCGGCAGCCTCAGCCTCTCCCGAGGTGGCGACCCCGCCCTTTCCTCACAGCAGAGCCGAACGAGGAAGCTGCAGAACGGGCCTTCGCCTCAGGGGCTCCGAATTCCGCCTCAAAAGCACTGCGAGCTCCGACCGAGGTCAAAGCCAGGTCGTGGGAAGGGTGGTTCAATCATTGACAAGTGCCACCGGTGCCTTCAATGTGCGCAGGCTTCTAAAGAAGCACGTGACCTTCCTCCGTGCATGGAAGACGGCGCTGGACAGAACCGGCGCCGGCCCTGGCATCTCAGCTCTGCGGGGGTTTTTCACGTGCGTCCTGCTTGCACCGAGCGCATGTGATGTTGCATGAGGCAACAACCGGTGCAGCTGGGATGAGCTGGAAGCCCAGATCGGATTTGTTTCCGGCTTGTATTCGCTTCGGCTCACGTCACGTCGCAGGTTCCAAAGCGCCTGCAAAGAGGTCGGATGGAGCGAGGACGTGCCAGGTCGCCGGGCGAGACACGGTCGGGTCGGGAGGAAAGCACCCGCACGGAGGAAGCTGGGCGTCTCTCTCAGGTGCTTGGTGTGCCCTCGACAAAAGGAAAGCCGGCCTTTGGACTGCACCGTCAAAGTGCCACAGGCAGCCCCGGCCTTTCCCTTGCTTGGCTGAGGTAGCCTGACGCTTCAAGACATCGATCCCAGTGCCGGTGAAGCTCTGGTCTCCTTTCGCGATTGGGCGGTTGAACAGTTCGGCAGCGTGCTGCGCTCGGTCGAATTTCGACGCCAGGACTTTCCGAATGTCCAGCAATGTCCAGCATTCCTGCAGGTCAAGACATGCTTCATGGTTCTTGACGATGACGGTTCGAACGAAGTCACTTCCTTCGAGTTCAAGCAGCAGCTTGGTGACAGTGACACTCCGTCGATCAGCAAGTGAACGTTTGCAGCTGTCGTCTGCTCAGGGCATGCCGTGCCTACGGCTACAGGGGGCCAGCCAAGCTGGCCTTCAAGGCGCCTTGCTTTGTTCTGCAGATGTGTGAGTTTTTTGTTGAAAATTTGTATGTTCGCGAGGCCTTGGACACGAACGGACGTGGCGCATTATGCACAGATGACGTTGCCTTCCTTGATGAGTGGGCCGGCAGGCATGACTTCCAGCCCAGGGCTTCGGTGACTTGGCGGTCTCTGCAAAACAGACTTTGCGCAGGCCTGGGAAGACGACAGAAGAGCCAGAGCCGGAGGAGCCCGAAGCCGAGAGTGATCGTAAGCTCGCAGCTGGCATCGCTCTGCGGGAAGATGCCCGTGTGTCTGCGCACTTTCTTGCGCTCCAAAGGCCCGAGGCGCTTGATGAGCCACCTGAAGCATCGCCTCGTCCGACCGAAGCCGCTTCCGGTCGCTTTCAGGCCGGGATAGCAGCGATCTGAAAAAATGAAATCCGTAGATACGACAGCCTTGGTAATTTATTTGTGGTGCAGCCTCCAACAGTCTTAGCCCGAAAGAACCAAACAAAGACATGTTGACGGCATCAGAACTCCCGGTCGTCTCTTCTTGAGGCAGTGGGAGACTTAGTGCTGCAATCGACGGAGAACCATCAGTGGCCAAAAGGAGCACCGGAGATTGAAATATCATTCCGAGACTGCGTGCTGTCATCATGTTACCATAGTTCAGGCTCGCTCTTCTGCAGGAGCTTTGCATCCTGCTTTCCGTCTTTGGGCCAACAGTAAGCGGAAGACCCCCATAAGGACGGGCGGCGAAGGTTTTCATTTTTATTCCAGCTTAGCAGCCCGCCGCAATCCTCCATGATTGGTGTAGGACGTCGAAAGGAAGCCTTCCGCCATTGGTGGCCCAGGCCTTTGCCCCGCCATGTAACTGCCGCTACAACTATGCAGGCGGCTTCCAGTGAATCTCAGTCTGGCCAGGTGGATTTCGGAGATCCGCACATGGCAAAGAGGCCTTCGCGAGAATCCAATTGTGACACTTGAGCTGTGCCTGGGCATGTTCTGGATTGTCTTGCCTTTTTCTATCATAACAGCACATGGGGCTTTCTTGCGTCATCGTAATCGATGCACTTGATACTGCCGCGCTCAAGTCCGCTTTAGCTCTGGAGCAACCAAGCCATGCCGGGACCGGCAGAACGACGTTCAATCGTAAAGAAGTGGGATGAAGACGCATCCCTTCCGACAACAGCCAAGTTACAGGAGCTGCTCCTGGAACATGAGGAGCGGTTGAAGGCGCATTTCGAGAAGTTAGTCGACAAGTTGTTCTTGCAGCAGGTGCTGGGTGACACCACGGAGCATGCAGGCAAGATTTCCAGCCCAGTGCATCATCCGGGGGCGGACAGGATTAGCAGCAAGAGCACTAAAGGTTATCAGGCCAGAGTGCCGAACTATGTGAGACAAATGGTCGATGGGACACTCACGAAGCCGGCACCACTCGGAAATAAGGTGAGGACCGGGAGCTCAATCAACAGTTGGTCCTCGATTGAGCATGGTGCACGACGCATGAAGAATTTCTGGCTCATCTATGATGTCAGCATTATGCTTCTCATTTTCGTGTATGCATGCCTCATGGGCGTCAACCTTCAGTGGACTAGTTCGACTGGAAAAGAGCCAGAATGGGCACGACATGCTGAGCTGGCATTTTGCATTGTGTTTTCCTTAGATTTGATGTGTCGCGTTGTCGTGGAGCGCCTACTCTTCTTTTTCGGACCGATGCGATGGTGGAACTTGTTGGACAGCGTGCTGGTGGGCATGATGGTAGTTTCGCAAATCACGCAGCAGAGTGCGATACAAAGCATCTCTGGCTTGCGGACTCTTCGGCTACTGCGTGTTCTGCGTGTCATGCGCCTCGCTCGATACTTCGCAAAGTGGCCACAGTTCAGGCAGCTCCGCATACTTGTTGCTTCCATTGGTGAGAGCTTAAAGGTCATGGTGTGGCTAGTTCTCTTGGCCTTCAGCATCATATACATCTTCAGTCTGATCTTGACCGAAGGAGTGTGGCCTTCCTGCCATGTGGGAACAGACGGCCAGGAGTTGTTGTGCCACAGGTTTGGAACCTTGGCCTCTTCCATGATGACCTTGTTTCAGATTCTTTATAATGGGCTTCTTTGGGGCATTCTGTGGGATGCCATGGAGCACTGGGATTGGTTCTTTCTCGTCTCGTTCCTGATGTACGTCTCGTTCTCAATGATCATTCTCGGAAACATGATGGCAAGCTTCCTGTATAGCCTCCAGAAGAAAGTGAGCAAGAAGGAGAAAGAGAACTTGATACAATCTGAGATCGAGTCCAAGGAAGAGTTCTTGCAGCAAATGAGTGCGGTATTCAGAGATTTCGATCAGAATGGCAATGGTGCCATATCTTGGACGGAGTTTCAAATAGCATTGGAAGATCAACGGATGCATGCATTTTTGTCTTCACTCGAGCTGGACATCTCCGATGCCATAGGATTGTTTCAGGTTCTGGACTCAGATGGGACTGGTGCCATCGAGCATTCCGAGTTTCTCTTCGGATGCTTGCGGCTGAGAGGAGGTGCGAAAGCCATGGACATGGTAAGGGTTCAGATGGAACAGGAATGGATGCACAGTGCCTTGCTTCAGATGCGATCAACGTTGCACGACTTGCATCGGATCGTTACCTTTGAGGGTCGCAAAACCGTGTCGTCGGATTCGAACCTTAGAATGGATCACGCAATGAGTGACGGCTCTGAGAACGAGCAATCCGAGTGGGGCGTAACTTCATTCGCTATTCCACGATTGATCGACAGCTCACCGATGCTGAATGCGGAGCTTCGGACTCAAATTCCCGCCGAGGAAAGGGCCGTTACGTTGCAAGAACTGAAGCGGATTTCCTCCAATGTCATGCTGGAGAGCCGACATGGCTGGGCTGACCAGCGGACTGGCGAGCGGGTTCCCGCTGCTGCATTGAATCTATACCACTTCAGCTACCATCACATCCTGCCAAAAACGGCGCCTCCAGGGCAGTTGACCTTGACATTGCCATGGAGGGCTTCTGGCAGTGTCTCTATACCACGGAAAGGTCAACAGGTACACCAAGTGAACGAGCACGCGGCCTTGCCGAATGCCTCTGCTTTCGTTACGCACACGGAGGTGTCGGGGAACAGCAGCGATTCGGATGGTACCCTAACGCTGCACCTCCGCCTCACGAAAGGGCGTTTTACGTCCAGCCCAGATGACGGCAGCTTATTTGCCGACGACTCGGACTTGGGAGTGCCAATCGAAGTTGTTTGTCAAAACTCCTTCAGCTACAAAGAGCTTTTGTCGTCTGAACCGTGTCGGCCGACATGGTATTGCCGGGCTCTTAGCTGTTCCTCAGAGACTCTGCATCATTGCATGCTGGTGAAGCTTGAAGAGTTAGCTAGATTTTGCTGATTTGCGCAGCGAGCTCAGGTTCCCACTGGTGGGGGGAGCCCATTGTGTCCTTTGTGAACTGTTGCCAGCGACATGCCCACCTTCGACACTTGGATGATTCGGAGGCCACTTACTGGGTGTGTGGCTATGCAAATCGGCAACACGAACTCGAGCTTGAGATCGGAGCCGACGACATCATGGCATCTTCCTTCTATCGCGCACTGCAAGTTGCCAGCGGATTACTTCTAATTCTCGACAAGGAGGCCAAGCCATTTTCCAGGACCGGCCTCGTCATACTTTCTGCTGCAGGTTGCCGGCAGCCTGCGACTGCGTCCCCCCACCCAAGATTCTTTCGTGTTTGCTTTGATGGGGGTAATTGTCGTGGAGTCGCTCTTCTGCGAAAGCAGTCTTGGCCTGCAATACTGCGACATTTATGCCATCCTTGTTGGTCTAATCCGCAACCATTGCGGAACACTCCTGAAAATCTTGTTCCCTCGAGATTTCTATATTCTTCGATCGGCTGTTCCAATTTCTGAAAGTCTCGCGGCTATTGAGGTAGACTTTGTGACCGCTGTTCGTGAGGCCATACGTGGGGCAGTTAAACGGGAAGCTCGACCGAGTAGGCCACTGCTTGATTCGAGTTGATTTGGATTCTGTTTGTTCTCCGCGAAGTTCGTGCGACACGTTGCCTGCCTCTACAATGCAATAGTTACACCGAAAAGCTGCTTCTTACCGCCTTGCTACCTACTCTCCGCCCTCATCCCTTACTGGCCGGTACTGGCCCCGTGCAGCTTCCCGGCCCCAGGATCTGGTGTGACTATGAGCTCTATGCTGCCATTATGGATTCAGACAAGGAGCTCGATATCGTGACAATGGCCGCTGTAGGCAGAAGGCATCAAGCAACAGCCCAGATGCTGAGCAAGAATATGCTGGCAGGCGAGTCAGCTGTGGCGAAGTCTGTGCGCGAACAGAATTTCCCCTTGTCCTTGCTCCAGCATGGACTTCAAGTTTGCCTCGAGGATGGCGAAGCCACTGTGGCAAAGGACAAGCAGACGATCCTATCGGCCATGGCAAACCACACGGATCTCACAAGCGAAGATGGTCGACACCATTTGCAGGAGAACCTCAAACGTGCGAATGCCACGCTGCACTCCACCTTTGCGATTCTGGCATGGCCTCAAGCAATGCAGAGAGGACCCGTGCAAGCGATTCAAGATCTAGAGCAGAATTCGGCACACCAGAGTTGTCTTGGACGTTGTGCGTGCACTGTGGGAGGACTATTGCAGGACTTCAAGAAAGATGGTGAGCTCAAGCTCCCGGAAGTCTTGCAGGCAGACGCTGGCAGACAGTCCTTGGAGCTTAGCCTTGCCCACTTTCAGGAGCAGCTGCTCAGGTGTAGAACAATTCGGAAAAGCTAATTAATGAAACTTGAGCGGCCCAGCATGCCCAACGGCTTCCGAGAGCTGAGATGCAGGACAGCTGTGTGGACTCCGCGGTGAAGATGTTGGCTTCTGGCTTGCCCCCGAACCTGACGGAGCTCAGGCTCAGCTTTGAGGGTTGCAATCGCATCACGGATGCCGGCCTCTCGAGTTTGGGGAATCCTGGCAGCCATTAGAATCGCTGTGTGTTCTCTGGCCGAGGCTAGAGCTGGATTGGCCAAACATCGCTTTCAAATCTCAGGTCGAGGTTCGGGGCCCACCTGAAGCTTCTGTATTTGGATTTCATCGGGTGCAGCAAGCTGACGGACACCGGGTTGATCGCAGTTGCTTCCAGCCTGCCCGCCGGCTTGGAGGAGCTTGAGCTTCATTTTGCGGGCTGCACTGGAATCGGCTCTGCAGGCGTCAACTCGTTGCGGGCGAAGCTGCCCAGAGGGCTGCAGTCCTTCAATGCAACGTTCAAGGGGACTGGCATCAACAAAAACTTTTCCACCAAAGCAGAGTTCGTGTCTGGGTGAATATCTGAGTGGCATTTTCACCTTGGAAAGATTTGACCAGCTTGCTGCTTAGCTTCCCGAAGTAGCCATACGGCCGTTGTTTCGGGCTGCGTAGCTAAAACCAATTCGTCACACAGCGAACAGTGCAACACTTGACGCTGTGAATGTTCATAGGCAATACTAAGTGCATGTTTGAAGAGCGTTCGTAGACGAACTGTTCACTCACTCTTTGCTCCCTCCGCTCTCGTTTTTGTCACTCTGGGGGGAGCACGACAGAAGCTGATATAACCTGCTGGACAAAGCGACGCGTCCCCATGCTACTCGTAAGTAAGCTTCGTTTCTCGATGCTGGCTGGGTTGGGCATCGCTTTTGATCTGGCTCTATGTGTTTGCAGTCATGAAAGAGCCTCTGTCTCTCTCTGCACAGAGCATACTTGCAGACTCGACATGTGCATTATTGTCGGGAGGACGTTGTGCAGTCTTGTCACCTCTTTCTAAGTGCTCGGATTCGGACTCCTCCAGCAAATGCTCCCACCGCATTGCCTGATCCAGCTGGTTTTGCAAAACTTATCCTCGACAACTCAGCTCCTGAGCGAAGCTTGCAACTTGAAGCAGTCGATCGGGGGAACCGGCACATCTGTAAGCCGCGAGACTCGAGACTACAGAGTTCCGGTGGGGAGCAGGTGGCAGACCCGCCTGGTTGGCCGATGGGAAGAATAATTCCGCAAAGAACGTCTTGCTCGAACATATGAGCGTGCGGGGCGGGGGGGGCACTTGATGAGAAAGGAGTTGGGAACGAAAGCAGGACGCAGGTGATGGGTATCCTGTGTGTCCCACTCGGGCATGGTCGCAGCCAGCGCAATGCTTTTCAGTTTCTTTGGCTTGTTTCACTGCAGGCCGATACTACTCATGGCCCCGGTGCCGGTCGTCAGAAGAACCGAGGCTCCCAGACTCTGTTGGATCGACAGCTGCCTGTACAGGGAGAGACCATGTTAATGTTCATGTCGGAGGAGTATCCGGTGGAAACCCGGCAGAATCCCTGGAGGACGTTTTGTGGATAGCCCGTGTGCAGTGTGCGTTGCATTGTGTGGGCCTGGACACTTCTCGATGAGAGTCGGCTAGAGCAATGCTCTGATGTGGCGTGTTTATGATACTATGTTCAGCGCTTGCTCGGGAGCGCATGCTTGTGACACTGGTCTGATACTTGTGCTCCGTCCGTGGGTTGGGCGTTCTTGTGCTTGGTGTTCTGTTGTAGTTGCGATTCATGTGAAGGAGCCAAAAGAAAAAGTCTTGCCCTCAAGCGTTGCAAAGTTGAGAAAACGCGAGGGCAATGCTAATTGCTTAGGTCATGAGACATGATGCTGTCATGCTTGTCTTTACTGCCGAAAGAAGTTGGACAGGCCTGGCTTGGACACCTTGCTGAGCCCCAGGCGCGTTGACAGGCTCGGGAAAGCTTCAGCTGGTCCATCCCTGGTGCTCGACATGTTTCACGGACCGACTGCAAGGGCTCACAAAGCTGCCAAGTCCATCATCTAGAAGGCCGACAACACGTTTCCTTCTGTCTGAAACGTGAAGTACTCTAATCCCGTCCCTGTGTGTGATCACTGGTGCACAGAGTGCTTCGCTGCTCTGTTTCTCTTCCAATCATCTTTTGCAGAAGACCGAAACCCGTCGACAGTCCGATTCCTCTACGAACCTGCGAGGCGTGGACATGCTGTGCGAGGCGTGGACATGTTGCGCGACAGCATGGTCCCATCTGTGATGATCCGGCACCAATTCATGTCTAAGCCTGTTCGGAAGATCCTGGGCAGCATGTACTTACATTCGTCGGACAATTGTCGGCCTGCAAACCAGGTTCGGCTTGGGTGCCGAAGGCACCTTATTTATGTTATTGCTCCAGAGAATTCAATCGAGTTCACGGGAGCAGACCGTTGAAGAGCTTGTGCAAAGCACTGTCTCTGTCCATGACAGTAGGTAGGCATGTGCATTTGCGACCGTACCATACCAGGGGTGTCACAAAGTTTGGCTGGCGCTGCAGTCGACTCCTGCTAAGGCCACGCTGTCTCACAGTGATGGTATGGACCAATCGAGCTCGCACAGGTCCCAGCAGCCCGGTGAGGAAGACGACATCGACCACCTCACTTTCCTAGGCTCGTGCCACGGCTTCTGAGTGAACAGGAAGCCAATGGCCCTGCGAGGCTCCGCATTGTTCACTAGACGCGTCAGCACCTTTATCTCCATGTTGCACAGCACGACCACAGACAATCAAGACTGCAGTTTGCTAATACTTACACTTCACAGTGGCCATGCATTCTTCAGGTATCCGGGCCGCGGGTGGTCCTTTGTACCCCACCGTCTCGGCCACAGCAAGTGCGTGACAAGACTGGTGGACAGGGACACGAAGAGTTCGAGCGATTCATCTCTACTTGGTGGAACGTCGAGTCTGAACGTCTGGATCTGTCGGCTCATGCCGAATCTGTCAGTCCCACAGCTTGCAAGACTTACACGTGTACACGTGCAAAGCAGCGCAAACATTCAAACACACACACAAAACACACACAAACACACACACAACACACACACACACAACACACAACACACAACACACAACACACAACACACAACACACAACACACAACACACAACACACAACACACAACACACACACAACACACACAACACACAACACACAACATACAACATACAACACACACAACACACACAACACACACAACACACACAACACACACAACACACACAACACACACAACACACACAACACACACATTACACACATTACACACACAACACACACAACACACACAACACACACAACACACACAACACACACAACACACACAACACACACAACACACACAACACACACAACACACACAACACACACACACAACACACACAACACACACAACACACACACACAACACACACACAACACACACACACACACACAACACACACACACACAACACACACACAACACACACACACAACACACACACACAACTGAAAAAGTACAAAGCGTCTGAAGTATGCACAAACAGAGCTCAACCCTGAAGTCAGCACAGCACTCTGAAGTCCTCTTTGTCACAGCCAGCCTTGAGCCACACGAAGTGTGGTGGTCGAAGTAAGCTGGAAGGAAGTTACTGTACCGGGGAGGTGCACAGAAGTCTTATATCTTAACACGCTCCCTTGAAACAAAGAAGTTCACGAAGTTGTTTCAACCAAAAGAAGCTGTTGCACGAAGTGCTAGGATCGAGCGAAGTTGGAAGTCCTCCAAGCATCGCAGAAGTGGCGCTTGCACAACAGCGCGAAGTGACTCCTTCGAAGTCACCAAAAGAAGTTAGGACCGAAGTCTCAGTAGCGTGCCCTCAGAAGTTGCACGGCAAGCTCACGACTCACCCACGAATCCGCCTCAGAAGTGTTCTCGAACCGGGCGAAGTCCGAAGTCCTCATCGGGATGTGCATGTAGCGGTTGAAGCCATGCGAAGTCTTCGACCAGGCGAAGTCAAAGAACTGTTGGAAGTTGCCCGGAAGACGAATCACCGCCAAGGAAGTGCGGAGGTGAGGTCGCAGCACGAAGTGCTCGCCGGGCACGTTGATGAAGTAGTCGATGTACCGCCGATTCCAGAAGCGGAAGCGGTTACCTTCCACGAAGTTCAAGATCTCGCTCGAGGTCATCCTGAAGGACAGAAGTCCGATGCCTCCTTGAAGCACTCGGTTGGCTTCGGTTGGGGAAGTCTCCAACAGAAGCTGAAGTCCGAAGCACGCAAGCCACACCGCTGACCTCGGAGAAAATGCGAAGTTCAACATATCCGGGGAGAATGGCTGCATATCCGAAGTCAGGTGAAGTTCGCCATCTCCATCTCGTGACATGCGCGTGAGGATGAAGTTCAAGGAAGTGCAAAACCACAACCGGATCGAAGGCTCGGGAAGTACATCAACGAAGTTCGGGCCGATATAGCTTGCCTTGAAGTTGACGCAGAAGTCCGTCTCGTTGGCCACATAAGAAGTGCTCCGGGCGAAGAGCTCCGGAAACAGCGCCGCGGACTGAAGTGCCGTCACCACCGGGTTGTCCACGCCAGGTTGAAGTCGAAGTAGCGCGTAGACCAGCCTGAAGTCTGAAGTCCCAGGCAACAGAAGTTTGCTGATCTGGCGGCCCTGGCGAAGTGACTCCAAGAAGTCAGGGACATGCTTGAAGTGCGTGAAGCACACATTGTCCACGGCGAAGTAGCTCATCCCAGCGAAGTGGCTCCAGCCGAGGTGATCTCGGCCATGCCCGAGAAGTCGAGCCGCTTCCTTGCCGTAGAAGTGTACCCGAAGTACATCCACGGCCCTGTGAAGTTGCTGGAAGTGCGCCGGGTGAAGTCCGCAGACCGTCTCGAAGTTACCCGAGGCGTAGCGCAACTCCAGCCACGTGTTCTGAGGAAGTGCTCGCGTGGGAAGTCGCGGAGGAAGCTCATCTCTTGCGAAGTTCGGGTCTGGAGTATAGAACTGATGCTCCTCCACGAAGTTGCGGAAGTCCCGCGTCATCTCGGCCTCCTCCGAAGTCGAAGGTCCTGGCAAAGCTGCCGGAGGAAGTCCGAGGGCCACTGCCTTTGGCACCGGAACCTGAAGTTTGGGCGCCATCTTCCCGAAGTAGAAGCACACAAACCACTGAAGACGTCGATCGCAAAGAAGTCTGTACCAAAACCACGTCCCAACAGAAGTGGGCACAATCCGGTATGAAGTGAAAAATTCCATGTCCCAACCGAAGTGGGCACAATCCGGTGTGAAGTTCGCAAACCATCCATGCAGAAACGAATACCAAAGCGAAGTTGCCAAGAACCCAGCCAGAAGTAAGAAACCCAAGCAGAAGCCATGGCGGCAACGAAGTGAGGCACGAAGTCGCAGCCCAAAGGAGCGGCGGCGGCCATGAAGTCCTTGCAAAGGCGGCTCTGGGGCGAAGTTCTGAGACACAGAGGACCTCACTGACCCTGAAGTTGAAAGGGGAGCTCTGCCTTTAAAGCAAACGAATTGAAGTGAAACATCTTTCTGCACAGCATCCTAGAAGTTAGGGCAGCCTACCAAAAGGGTAGCCTACACCTAAGGTTCCTAGATGCCTCTGAAGTACCTCACGTGAAACATACTTGGTCAACACATCAGCGGGGTTCGAAGTACCGGCAACTTTCTTCACTTGAAGTATGTTTTGTTGAACCAACTCTTGCATGAAAAGATAGCGAAGTTCGACATGCCGAGTTTTCTTCGAAACACCGAAGCGCGTCGACATGCTTTTTCCGGCCGAAGAATCTGTGAAAACGCGTATGTTCACGCGCGAAGTGATGTTCATTTCGATGAGAAGTGATTTTACGAAAAGGCTCTCCGAAGTGCCCAGGCCAATGCTGTAAAGCTCGGCCTCTCCAGACGAAGTCGCTATCGTCTGCTGTGTGCGGCTTTGCGAGGCAATTAAGCAACCGTTAAAGAACACAGACACACCCGAAGTACTCTTCCTCGTAGTGACACAACCTGCCCAATCACTATCTACATACGCTACCACATCAAGAGAAGTCATTTCCCGACGAAGCATGACCCTCGGCCGAAGTGTCAGGACGCAAGCCTTGCTCCCTGCAAGGTACCGAAGTAGCATCTTGACCTTGGCCTTGTGATCCTCTGTCGGGGAAGTTAATCCTCGAGACAGTTCCTTGACAGCGTACTGAATGTCAGGGCGAATGCTGCTAAGCCAGAGAAGTTGGCCTACCACTCGTCTGTACTTACGGTGCTCGACTGCATCCAAAGGCTCTTCGGATTCGATTTTCTTACGAAGTGAGTCGTTGCCGGGCACAGGGCTATGCCTACACTCCAAAAGAGCATATTCTTCCAGAATCTTGTCAACATACGAAGTAGGCATGGAAATCTCGATCGCATCTTCGCGTCGTGTGATGCATCTACCTAAGAAGTTGATACTCTCCCCCGGCTGAAGCGTCCCTTCCCGTCTCAAAAGAAGACGTTCCTCACACGGCTCCTTTGCACCGAAGAGAAGTACATCATCTACGTAGCAAAGAAGGTACACCTTGTACTCAGGATGGAAGTAGAGATTAGGATCGCTTTTAAGACGTTTGAAGCCGAGATCGGCCATCACGCTCGCGAAGTGGGTCTGCCATGCCTTCGGACTCTGTTTCAGTCCGTACATGGCTCTGCGAAGTTTCCATAGCACTCCACCGTTGGGGTAGAATTCACCCGGAGGGATCACAAAGATCTCTTCACTCAGAAGTGCGTGGAGAAACGCTGTGGACACATCGCCAGCAAGAACGAACCAGTTGAAAGTGCACGCAAGTGTAAGAAGAAGTTTGAGCGTAGCAAGCGAAGGTGTGCTGGCGAAAGTGTCGTCTGGGTCCTCGACGACTTGGTCGAAGCCTCTGACACACAGCCTGCAACGCACACCATCTCCCTTAGGGCGCTTAACCCATTTCGTGGAGATTGCGTCTCGAAGTTGCTCCTCGGAACACTCGCTCACAAGCTTTTCTTCGAACACATCGAAGTGCTGAGGAGATTCACGCTCTTTCTGCATGCCTTGAAGTTCTTGCTCCTTGTCAAACTCCGTGTCGTACCAGACAACAGGCTCACTTGCACGCAAGGCCTGAAGTTCTTCAGCACGGTCAACGTTAACCTCGACAGGAACTTCAAGACCGTCACGCGTGGTCACAGAAGCAACGCAAGAAGTGTCAACCAGGCGATCCTCAAGCACCGCAGAGATTCGCTGAAGTTTGGTCGCACTGGCCGGGACCTCCGCGGAGATCTCGCGCTTCTCTCCCTGCGACTGTTCCAGCCTGGCCCGAAGTTGCGAAGGCGCATCCTCTGGAGGTGCCTCTGCGCTGCGCTTGCTTCCAGAAGTGCCGTCGGCACTGGAGCCGGCCGCGTCCTGCGCTCCCTGCGGGTCTGAGACTGCAGGCGCTGCGGCAGGCGAAGCTTCAGACTGGGCTGGAAGAACGAAGTGAGCACTCTCCTCTTGGCGACCACGCGGGTCCCAAGGAGTCGCTTTCAACGAGTCAAGAAGCTCCTTGCTCACTTGATCCTCCGCAGGAAGTCTCCTGACGCTTCGTGTCTTGTACACGCCGTTTGCATTGCCGACAACATGCATGTCCGAAGTGGTTTCACGACCAAGCCACAACGCACGCTCCCAAGCAGGCTCAGCTTTAGGCACACGACCAGGAAGTCGAAACAAGACCACTTCTCCAAAGCGACAGACCGCAGAAGTGTACTTGCGGTCCCAGCGACGTTCGTAGGGCGTTTGCCCATCAGAACGAACAGAGAAGTTGTTCAACAAGAACTGTGCGTGCTTCACAAGCCACGGGAACACTGGCGAAGTGACAGGGATCTGGCAGTCGTACCTCTCTGCCAGGTCGAGTCGAAGTGCTCGTACCTGTGAGTAGAGAAGTGCCTGCGCCTGTCCAACTGCACCTTGAGCCTGCTTCCACTCAGTAGGGCTGTTTCTCAACGACAAGCCACCTATTTCTGAAGTGACCGTCTCCGCTACAGCCTTGAGAGAAGGCTCTGGGTCGCACTGAAGTATGCCGAATGTCCGGCCAACGTCCTGCACGAAGCGACGAAGTTCCGCTTCTGCATAGACGGAGTGACCTTTATTCGGCACAACCACCGAGAGAGACATGCCTGTGATCACATCTCGCACGTTGAGAAGTGTAGCTTGGTTCTCTCCCTTGTCCGGCATGAAGGAGTAGTCGCATTGAAGCACGGGTTGCCTCATGCGAAGTTTCTTCGAGTGGTCCTGCCGGCTTTTGGCTTGAACACAAATCTTGCACCAGCTTCTGAAGGGAAGATGTGTGAGGTTGTGTTCTTCCCTTTCTTGTTCAGTTGGTGCCTTTGGTGCGCGAAGTGTCTTGGGCACTCTGGCGTCGGTGTCCTCACCAGCAACCGGAACGGGAAGTGGCTCAACGACCTCTTCCTCCGGCTTGGCGAAACACGTAGCTCCTGTGAAAGTGAAGCCAACCTCTCTCTTGGAGGCTTCGCTTTCGAAGTCCCAATTATCTTCGCGCCACTGGTCACCTTCCGAAGTGCACAAGCAAGTCATGCGCTCACGACCAAGCTGGGTGACATCAGGGCCACCTTGAAGTTCCTCCTCGTTGGGAACAAACAACGTGCTACGCGGAACGAAGTGGAAGCGAATCCACATCAACGGTGTGTCCAACCAGAAGTCATGTTCATACGGAAGGCCTGTGCTTGGATCTGGCTCTTGAAGTTGAGATGCCACAAAGCGTCTCACACTTGCCTCATTTCCATCCGAAGCTTCACGAAGGCTCTTCTGAAGATCAGACCTCTTCGGATACAGCGAAGTTTCTGGTCTGAAAGACTCTGTCGCAACAGGGGCGCGAGAAGTGCGCGCTTGCTCAACTGGAGGAGAAGCTTTCGGATCCTCGTGGGCCGGCGGAGTGAGAAGTGACCTCTTCTGAAGAAGTCTCGTCGGCGGGCGCTGGTTCGGAGGAGTTGTAAGTTTAAACTCCGTTCTTCCTTTCCAGAAGTGATCCAGCGCTCGCGTGGGCTCATCTGAAGTGACCCAGTTGTCCGTAAGCTCCTTCTCATTTCCTTGAGCATCAACCACGAAGGTTTTCCGCTCTTGAGCAAGCTTGTTCAGCGCCACTGGTCTATCTGAAGTGCCGCTTGGCACAAACAGATTTTTGCGAGGGCGCTTGTGATACCGCACAAGAACGTTTCTTGCGGGATCGAAGTGCCAACGATCAGCGTGGTAGTACACAGGCTTGAACGCTGACACCGTGCTCTCAGCCTCCGTTGCGAAGTTTTCGTGGAACGCAACACACACCAACTCGAAGTCGTGCTTGACAAAAGGAAGTATTTCCGGCTTCAAGAAAAGAAGTGAACCCTCACGCTCAACAGGAAGGTGCTTGCCATCTGGAGCGTGAAGTGTCAGCTCATCCTTTCCTAAAGTTGCGGTGTAGTTCTGGGCTAGAAGTCTTCCTACCGAAACGATAGGATAGCCAATGTCTGTGACATAGAAGTGCATGTGAAACTCAACATCACCTATCTTCATTCCTACAAGTCGTCTACCGTAGATGTTGAGGAGCTGCCCTGTTACACTGCGAAGTGGAGGCGCTCTGTCTTGGAGTGGAAGCAACGGCCACTCTCGTGCGAAGTTCTTGGGGCAGCAATGAGCTGCTGCACCGCTGTCAAACAAAATCCACTGCGGGCTCAAAGAAGTTACCGAAGCGACATGTTCCTCCAAGAACACATCCTTGAAAGAAGTGTTGAGGTGACTCAAACCCGAAGTGAAAAGCGTACTGAGAAGTGTGGACTCCTGACCGGGTCCTTCGTCTTCGAAGTTCGGCATTGGCATCGTCGGGGCGATGCTGAACGAAGACCCTGAAGTTACACTACCTAGCGTAACCGCAGCAAGCAGAAGTCCTGAGGCTGTTGAGGCTTTCGGCTTGGGTGAGGCTTTGGCTTTCGAAGTTTTGTCGGGAAGTGAAAGGCCTGGAGGCTCACCGAAGGTAACAGCCGAAACCTTGTCAGCCGAAGTTGCTGAAGTCTGCGTCGCTGCTGGTGGTACCGGCGCTTGGTTTGAAGTTTCGCTTGAGGTGGCTGGTTGGGAGGCTTGAGAGAAGGAAGTCGGGTCGTAAGCCCAAGGATCCTCATTCCAAGCAGAAGTCCACCACGATCCATCATCCCATGCATCAACCTGCCATGTGAAGTCATCAATTGCACCGATCCACGAAGCATCATCCCATGAGGCATCCCAGGCATCACCGAAGTCATGCCCTGCGTCATACTCTCCTGTCCAATCTGCATTCCAATCACCTGAAGTCTCATCTACCGCGGAAACACGATACTGATGCGGACACTCTCTCGAAGTGTGGCCAATTTGGCCGCACGTCCAACATGTGATTGCTCCCGTCTTTCCTGAACCCGAAGTTCCTTTCTTTCCATATCCTTCCTTTCCTCCTTTTCCTTTTCCTGATCCTTTGAAGTTTCCTTTCATTCCTTTTCCTGATTTCCCTTTTCCTTTCATGAAGTTCCAGTGGCCGAAACCACTCTTTCCTCCTTTCATTCCTTTGGGGCCGAAGCCCTTTCCTTTTCCTTTCTTTCCTTTGAAGTTTCCTTTGCCCCAACCTTTCAGGGCTCCTACATCCATCGGGGCTGGACCTTGAGAACTTGAAGCTGTGCCCTGAAGCATAAGCCTTGATCTGAAGTACGATACAATCACTTCTCTCATCTGCGCGTAGGTCCTGATCGAAGTCGAGTTCAACCTCAGGTGCTGCTGAAGTTGTCCTGAAGTCTTATTCAACAACGTAGCTATGAGAACTCCGTCGGGCAGCGAAGTGCCTGTGAGCGTCTCGTATCTGACCTTGACCGTCTCCCATGAAGTGAAGTCTTGCTCGAACGTATGCGTGTTGAATTTCCAATCAAGAACTTGTGCGAGAAGTGCGTGCTCGCGCTGCGCGTTGGGCATGCTGAATTTCTGTTGAAGTCTTCTCCAAGTTTCGAAGCCGTTTCCACCGACGTTCTGACGAACTACAAGTTTCGCGGCACCCGAAGTGAGATTTGCGAGGAGAACATGAAGTTTTCGACTGAAGCGAATGAGCTCGGCTGATCTGGCTTCCGGGAACCTGTCACCTCTGAAGTGTTCATCTATTACCTCTACGTTCGCATTTCCTGATCTCTCAAGAAGTTCAGCAATTGCAGGATCAAACAATGAAGCATAGATTGTGAAGTTCCACTGCCATTCTTCCCAGTCCTCAGGATTTCCACTAAAGACCGGCGGAAGTGGCAACCGAAGTTTGCCTGCGAACTCTCCTTCTAGCTCAGCTGCTGACATCTACGAAGTTTCCTACAAAGGCCTAGGAGCACGAAGCTCCGCTACCATGAAAAAGTACAAAGCGTCTGAAGTATGCACAAACAGAGCTCAACCCTGAAGTCAGCACAGCACTCTGAAGTCCTCTTTGTCACAGCCAGCCTTGAGCCACACGAAGTGTGGTGGTCGAAGTAAGCTGGAAGGAAGTTACTGTACCGGGGAGGTGCACAGAAGTCTTATATCTTAACAACAACACACACACAACAAACACACAACACACACACACAACACACACACACAACACACACAACACACACACACACACACACACACACACACACACACACACACACACACACACACACACACACACACACACACACACACACACACACACACAACACACACAACACACACAACACACACACACACACACACACACACACACACACAACACACACACACACACACACACACACACACACACACACACACACACACACAACACACACACACACACAACACACACAACACACACACACACACACACACACACAACACACACAACACACACACACACACACAACACACACACACACACCACACAACACACACACACACACACACACACACACACAACACACACACACACACAACACACACACACACACACACACACACACACACACACACACACACACACACTGATGGATTCGGCCAAGAGTACGAGTGCAAGAGGAAAAGAGAGAGGCATGTTGTTCATGTTGCAAAGTTTTGTCAGATTGTGGCAACCGTACAACTTGTTTGTCTAATCTGGACACCACAGGGGGCCTGTCCTCAAAACTAATCTTGGCACCACAGGGGGCTGCCATGCAGGTACACAGGACTGATCAGGTCCCGCTTCCCACTTGCATCCACAGCTTCGTTGAGTGTGGTAGGACGCAAGTGCCACACTCCCCTGCAACAGTTGATTTGGTAAATGTCCAATGCCGGATTATGTTGAAAAGCGAAATTGCAAACAGTGTAGGAGTGACCCTCTGCTCCCATGTGCTAGGGAGGTTCACACACACACAGCCCCAATGGGGCGTACATGCTTCAAGTAGAGTGAAAGGTCTGATGCGCGGCAATAGGAGTGAATGGCGCACTTTTCTCGCTGTCAATAGCGATCGGGTGATTGTCGTATTTCCTGATCCGAACAGGTTCTAACAAAAAGCACCGGCATCAACGTGGCTAATGTGGTGACTGAATCCCAATCATGTAGTCGTCGACGGTTTTGTTCGAAGAAGAAAGCTGGGATTTTAGGAGTTCTGCCGGTGATCTCCTTGATGCGGTAGGAGAAGATCTTGCGAGCTTGGAGAACGTTGTCACCCAGACAAAGCACCACGTGTAAGAACATGTGCTTGTCTCTGGTGATGCGGTCGGGTGGAATTTCAACAGTCATCCGAAAACATTGTCCTGCCATGGAGTACCATGGAAGGCCGGCCTCGGCAGCCTTTCGCTTTGTCATATTTTTGCTGCTACCAACCGACAAAAGCTTGAACAAGGAATGCAAATCAACATGGACATGATGTGTGCTCTGGCAAAACAACAAAGTGGTGTCGTCCTGACACTCGCATGCGCAGGCTTTTTGTCACGCTTAGCGGATCTTGCAGCCCTAATCCGTCCTGAGAATTAGGGTCCAACAGCGAGTTTGTTGGGACAGTCACTCATGATCTTGAAATGGCATCGACACCTAAAACCTGCACGTACCAGCATTTTTGCACAAGCGGTTTTGGACCGCTTGTGCTGAATAGTAGGATGCACAATATCGTAAGGTGCAATCGAGTCAGAAGACCAAGGATCTCGAGATGGAGACCGGTGTGCGTCCTCAGCCATGTGTGACGTTGCCGTAGGTGACGCTGATGATGTTGAATGCGAAGAGCGTGTCCTCTTTCGTCTTGTAGTATGTGGATGTTGGCGTCGTTGCTGTGTTGTGGATTGGGATGGTGGTGAGATGTTGCGTGTTTTCTTTGTTTTCATGACTGTTTTGTCCTTTTTGTCTTTGTTGTCTTTCTTCTTTTTTGTCCTCGTTGTGTGCTTTGTTTTTTGCTTGTGTGTGTGACTGACTGCATGGGAGGATGTGGTGGTGTCATCCTTCCTCAGGAAGGCATCAATCTCTTCGGATCCCCATAGGCTGCTGTCGTCGTCCTCGTCCATCTGTGTGCGATCCTAAATATGTTTCAGCAACTGTAGTTCTGAGAAATGGCTGCGGAGTCACAACTGCATTGAGGCATGTGCATACGCTGATCTTCAGAAGAGAGAGAGAGAGGTACACAGAGACATCAATTGAGCAACCTCGCCGACCGGCATGACCTTTCAACATGATGCTCTTAATGTTGAACCTCATCAGGAATGATGGAGTTCGCAGCACAGCTTTGCTGTGTGGTTGTTGGCTGCCGGGGGCAGCAAATGTGCATCTAATTGTCAACTCAGCAATGTTGCTCACGGAGTTCTTGACCGCTTTCTCTTGTTGGATGTAGGAGTTGATGTAGTAGATACTGTCTCCTTTTGGGTAGGAGTCGTTGATGTCGGACGCTGATCAGGTTGCTCCGAATGCTTTCGTATCCACTCTTGAGATGCGATAAAGTACTCACGCCACCATGAAGAGCCGTTAGTGGCCCAATGCCATCTCCATTGTGATGCCGTGGGAGATCGCGATCTGGTGCGTTGTTCCATGGTGCTAACACAACTGGTTGTTTTGCAAAATGCTGCGGGAAAGAGTGCATCAATCGCTGCATACCAAACATATGTGAAGTGAGTGCACTGACTGTCACAATTGGCAACAACGACAATCGTTGTTTTAACCGTCCGCTGCAAAGCACCCAATGGTGGTATGAACATGGTTGATCACCTATTGTTGCGAAGCTTCGAGTCTTTCCACTCGTTGCTTTAGCTCTGTGATCTGCCGGGTTGTTTGCAGAATAAACTCGGCTAATTGGTCGCGTAGAGCCTCGTCACTGAATGTGGAAGGTTCACTTCCAGTTTCGGAATCATAGTCCCGATGCTGTGTCAAAATCTCCATGAGGGCCTCGGAGAGAGCTTCACGTCGTGACTCATCGACGGGTGGCGAATCTGTAGTCACTGTGTTTGTCGGAAGAGATGCTTCGCTCATGGCTCGGTGTCGGGATTCCGATAGGTGTCACTCTGAGGCAAAAACTTCAGAAGGCAAAGTTATGGTGTGTGTCTGAAAGCAACATGTGTTGAAATGCGAGAAGTGTGCACTACCTGGCTCTTTTTATACCAGCGTACCTTAGCAGCATATTCACGACCAATCAGGCGCGTTTTGCCTGATGAGGCTTTCGAGTACGTCGAGCTGCTGTTTGCACGAGGCGAGGATCGCCGTGGTAGCCTCGTGTTGAGTGGTCAACACCGTTGTAGCCTGTTGTATCAGGCGCTCGAGTTTGGCATTCGATTCAAGCAACGAATTGTGAAACTGCGTTATTGCTGCCATAATCTCAGTCGATGAATCCGGATCAGAATGATGCGGAGGTGGAAATGGCGGGGTCGCCGGTGCAGCCACTGCTGCGTCCTGCTGTTCTTCCGGATCTTGGTGTTGCTCTTGGTAATCTTGGAAATCTTCGTCTTCTGCAACACGTAGGAACTGAGAGCGCAAAAGCGCCGGCTGTTGATTGTGGCTGCCAACCGCAGGTTGCTCGTTGCGGCGTCTGCTATGCTTGGAGATGGATGGCCGAGGACGGCCGCTCAGCGCTTTGTGGCTCGGCTGCAATCTGCCAGTCATGGCACTTTTATACATGATGATGCCTCAGTTAAACCCTGTAAATGGCTGCGGGAAGCACTGTGTTGATACAAGGCGGCTCTCATGTTGCAAAGTTGCATGGCTCTGGACACACGCACGGCAACTTGGCACAGTGTTTTGCTTACAGCTGTTGATCAGTATAGCCGGCAGCGATGTAGAGATCGCGCATGGCTCGAATGGCTGATGTGGCCTCGCTGCATGGTGTTGTCACTCTGCGTACCATGCGTGTGCGGGCCTGAAAACTGCTGCGAAGTGTTGCAACAGAGGTGGCTGACTGTGGGTGTAAAATATCCGCCTTGTGCAAAGTGCATTGATGCGTAAGGCTGCTGTGCTGAGGGTTTATGGCGAAACCCAGGAAAATGTTGGCCGGTTCAGTTTCAAGCTGAACCGGTGGTTTGTAGAAAGATGCGTCAGTAAGCTGTGCAAAAGGAGGCAGTCGGGTCAGCTGTGCAGGTAAAAG